GCTCCGCGCCAGCGGCGGCGGGGGGAGGGGAGGAGGGATCTCTTTGGGGGTGGGTTTGAAGGGGGTGGGGGGCGGCTCCTTCCTCCGCCCCGCGGCGGGCTCACGGTCAGGGAGGGGCGGGGAGACGGTGGGGGGCAGTCCTGGGCGGGGGTGGAGGCGGAGATGCCGCCGCCGCAGCCGCCGCGGTGGCTGCCGCTGCCGTAGCTGTCGCCGGCGCCACTGCCTCCTCCTCCGGCCGAGACGCGGAGCGAGCAAGCGAAAGCGGCGGCGAGGAGCCCGGCGCACACCACAGCTGGATCCCTCACTCCAACTTCAAGCCTCGGCCCCGCCTCTCCCCTGCCAGCCTCGCAGCCAATCGCTGCGCGCCGTCGGCCCCGAGCCGCGCGCCCATTGGCCAGCCGCCGTGGCAGTGCGGGCGGGAGCGCCGGGAGAGAACCACAGCTGGAATCCGGTTCCCACCCCAAAGCCCAGGACCGCCCCTCTCCCCTCCCCTTGCCCCTGGGTCCGCTCCCGAAGGCTGGAGCCAATGAGACGGCTGCACAGACCGAACCCACTTTCCTATTGGCCTCTGGGGTCTTTGGGACTCCCCTGGAGTGAGCCCCGGAGAGTCAGTATTCGGCTTGGAGGTCTTGGGGTAGCGCCGCAGGCCCCGGCGATCCTTTGTCTACGACCCCTGAATTGGACAGCAGCCGAAGGGCGGAGCTCCTCTCTAAGCGGGCCTGGAGAAGAAGGGAGCAGGCTGCACGGGGGTGAGGGTGTGACCAGGGTCCCAGAGCGAAATCCTGGGTCTCCACCTGGTTAATCGTCCACCCTGGAGATGAGCCTGGGAGCGGGACTGGGGAAGGGAAGGAGCAGAGCTGGGGTCCCAGGGGTGGGGCTTCGAGCTGGAGGGGGTTGGTCTTGGGGAAGCAGGCAGAGCCAGGGAAAGACAGGGGTAGGCATGGTCGGGGCGTGGCTCCCACCAACCTCTTGGGCTTATTGGTCCTGCTCCAAAGTACACTTCTGAGGCTTTGATCCTGACCTGCTAACCCTGACTTGCTGGCCCTGACCTCACGTTGGCGCTCCTGAGCTTCATAGAGCTTCATCCCCTGCCCCTAGGGATCCTTTGAAGGGCGTCGACTCCACTAGGGGGCTTCGAGCTTGAACACGTGGGCCCAGGCAGATAGCTCCGGACCGCAGAGCTCGGATCCCCAGGAGCAGCTGCGGAGCAGAACGAGGACTCCTGCAAAGGGACCTGCGGGGGTCTCGAGTGTGTGGGAGGGGGTGGGAGCACAAACCTGGCCCTTACCAACTCTTAATCTTCAAAGTCCCCACCAACCCCCAACCCCGTGCCTCAGTTTCTCGCTCTCGAGTTCCAATATAGCTTAGGGGGAGGCTGTCGGCGGGACAGGAGCTCCGCCGGGCTGCTCCCTTCGCTGCCCTCCACCCCATCCGCAGCGGGCCCTCGTGGGTCTGTGCTTTCCTCGCGCGCACACGCACGCGCAGACCCCGGCCCTCGCCCCGCCCACCTCACGGAGTTCTGGGGCTTAGTGAGCTCTAGCTCCCTCCCGCTGCCGGCGCCGCTCCAGAAAGATGTGGGTAGCGGGAGCGCCGGGCTGCTGGAGTGCTGGGCGCCGGTGGGGGGGTAGGGGGGATCGAGGATTAGACACTGGTAAGCACTTCCCCAACGTCTGCGAGAGGTAGACACGGCGGAAACGAGCAGGTCAGTCAGTTCCCTCTCTGGAGACTTGGGGCGCTTACGCCAGTGCGGAGAGGCCGAGGGATAGATCGGATGACCTTCGGTACCCCCCTCCCCCGACTCCCGGGCGTTCTTCGCTCTCCTAGGACTGCGCCACCCACGCAGCCCCCGCGCTCCGCCGCGGCGGGGGTTGGGGGGGCGTCTCAGCTCCGGCCGCGGCAGGTTACGGGGTGGGATGGGGAGGGCCGAGTGGCTGCTGCGATGTCGCCTCCCTGGTTGCCCTTTCGCCGAATCCGCGAACCGAGCTGTGCAAATGAGGCCGGGCTCATTTGCGTTTCATGCTAATGAGCAGATCCCCTAAGTGCCTTTTTTTCCTGGCGCGAGTCTCTGCTCTCATTCCGAGTGTGAGGCGCCAGAGTCCTGAACTTGGGGTGTCTTCTGGGAGAGGGGGTGCATTTATGGTTGCACCGCGTGTCTGACACCTTCTTCCCTCCCGCGGGTCCGCAGTCTGCCGGTTCGGCCTGCCCTTCCCGCCAGGGTAGAGGCCCGGAGCTGGCACGGAGAGGGAGGGACTCCCATCACCCACTCTTTGCAGAGGGGGAAAATGAGGCCAGAGAGGCTTGCCCACCTCCATGGTCAGGTTTCCTGGTGGTCAGCAGGCCCCACACCCTCATCCATCATCCAGGCCACCCCTGGTCTCTGGACTGAACCCTGTTATAGAACATACCCAGAAAGGAGGGCAGGCACTAAGGCGTCTGGATAAATTGAGATGCACATCTACTTCCCTGGGTTCGGGGCCTGGAGGAAACTTGCCACATAAGACATCCTCATCCCTGTACTGGGGCACCAGGGGACTGTGATGTCCAGTCGGAGACGCTCACCCTTAGCCTGGGTGGGGGAGGGGCGGAGGAGGCAGGACCCACAGGGAAGGCAAGAGCTGAAACCGTCTTTAACTCCAGCCCGCCAAGCCTCAGCTCTGACATCACCGCCTCAGAGTGGCCTTCTTTCCAGCAAGTGTTTCAATCCCTCTGAAGTGCCAAGGTGCTGAGGACACACTACCCAGCCAGACAAAAGTCTGGAACCTTGTAGCACTTAGCCCAGGCTGGGATGACATATGTCCCCCTCCAGGCTCTGTGTTCCCCGAGGGGCTGTGTCCATTCTGCTCACTAGGACCTAGTCTAGGGATTGGCACCTAGTTATTAGGTGAATAAATAACCTCAGGTGGTGAGTGGGAAGGGGAGGGAAAAGAAATTCTTTTCTTTGGGCTTCAGTTTCCCAACAACGAAGTTAAGCTGAAAGGTCTAAGCTCTCTTCTACCCCTACATACACCCTGCTCAGGGCTCCTGCAGTGACCCCTCCCTCACAGCCCATCTGGCTCCCCCAGGAGCAGAGATCGTCCTCCCATGTGAGTCTCTTTGCTCAGGGATGATACACACATTGCCCCATTTGGTCACCCCACAGCCCTGAGAGCTGAGTGGGTGGTCCCACGTTTTTCAGATAAGAAAGCTGAGGCTTAGAGAGATGAAATGACTTAAGTGACTGCCCACACCTCATGGCCTGTCCCCACTGATCCTGCCCCCGGCTGTGCTGCTGGGAGAGCAGGGAGCACACACCCAAGAGGGAGGGCAGCAAAGGGGAAGGGAGGCTGCAGGGACTTTTAAAATCCCACATCTGAGCAAAATTTATGTTGAGCCCTGCCCTCTTTAGAAATTCAAGGCCTCCTGGGAAAACTAACCCTTTAAGGCACTAACTCCTTCTTCTGAACCCATTTACAGAATCCCATTGTCATGCGCATGCCGGGCAGCAGAGCAGACTGGATGGAAGGAAGACACCAAGTGCACCCGCCTTCACAGCTGTGCCTGGGCCTCCTGGGGAGCGGGAAACCTTGGGGGGTCTTTACTGTACCCTGAAGACCCCAGAGGGAACCAGAAGTGCTGAGGAGTCACAGGGCAGTCTCTCACCTTCTCTGGGCCTCCAGTATCATCTACCAGTACGAGGATGAAGGTACCTCCCTCGGCAGCCCATTCATGAGGGTCAATGGGATGACAGTGGCAAGAGGGCTTGGTAGATTGCCCAGACTATTCCAAAGCCAGGACTGGGGCTGCCAAAAAGGCCACCTGTGCTTCACCACACTCCATCCTCCCTCCCTGCCACCTCCCAGGCCCAGCTCCACTTGCCCAGCCCTCTGGCTTCCTGGGGAGGCTGACTGGGGCCAGCTAGAATGGGGCCAGCTGACCTCGTTGGCCAGAGCTCTAATCCCCTCCAGATGGACCGGTGGCTTGCACTGAGGGTCTGGCTGCCCAGCTGAGTCTGGTCCTGGTGACCATGTGTGGCTGCGGGTGACCATGTGCAGGGAGCGACTCCATCCAGTCCCCTACTCCTTCCTGCTCCACTCCTCCCCATGGCTGACATTCCCCCAGGCAGTGGCCCCATCCGGCTGCTCCTTGCCTCTAGCAGCCTCTGTTGGCTGTGCTGCTTGGTTGAGGGGCTATGAGGATGCCCAGGGCTCAGCAGACCCCTGAAGGCCCCAGGGGGCAGCTCCCCTCCCATCAGCCTCATCACTCCACACCAGCCCTTCTGAAAACATGCTTCCCAAACACAAACAATCCCTGTGGAAGCTAGATGGGATTTCTGGAGCCGGCGAAGATGTGTGTGCCAAGGATGGGACTCAAGAGCATCTCTCAACATGAGCAGTCAGGAGGAGGTCACAGGAAGGCACTGGCTTTCTCTGCAGCAAGAAGGACTCAGATAGATTTGGGGAAGGACTTCTAACCCAACAGATGCTCCAAATGAAAGAGAACTCTTTCCCCAGACCAGTTTGTATGGCAACAGAGGGATGGACAATATGACCTCCTGCAGGGAGGCCATGCTTCCATCCTGGTGTGGCGGGGGCTAGATGGATACCCCCAAAGAGATGTCTTAGTCCTGATGACAGCACCTCCCAAAGTGTACCAGGGCATGTGCAAATGTCACCATTCCATGAAATATAAAAGCTCATATAAGATATCTCCTGCCCCTTTCCTGGCTCAAGACCAGGAAACAATGGGGAGGGGAGGCAGATGCCCTTCTTAGCATCTCCTGGGGGCGAGGATTGGGCTTTGCCCTCCCAGGCCAGTCCACACCCCGAAGCCCACCTCTGGTCATTTGTACTTCATTTTAGTCCCCTGACCATAGTTTCGCCCAGGCTGCAATGGCCATGGATGGGGGCGGGGCCGGCCTGGTGACCTCTGGGAGGTGAAGGAAGAATGGGGGGAGGCAGAGGGGTCAGATGGGGCCTGGGCTGCTGGTTCCCTCCCTCACAAGTGAGGCTGAGCTCCTGAGGTTACCGCGGGACGCTGTTTGGTTTATTCCAGGTTGAGTGGGTGCCCACAGGGAGGCAGTGAGGATGGCCGAGATCACCTGGTGGCAGAGTGCCCAGGCATGGCCACAGGTTCTGCAGGGCCCTTCAGGGCCTGAGTCTCAGGTCATTTGAGAAGCTCCACCTTCTGCCCCAACCCAAGGGGGCTTGGGGCAGTCACTGATGGAGCAGTTTTCGTAACTCGCAGGGCTCAGTGATGGGCAGGGAGCAGGCTTGATTCTCACACACATAGGCAGTGGCACGGTCTTCCAGCCGTCGCAGGGTACTGAGGAAGGGCAGCTGGCGGGACATGAAGCTCGAGGGGTCCCCATCCGCCAGAATCAGCACCTAGGGTAGCAGCAGAGCGGAAAGGGTCACCCGGGGGCTCAAGGCCTGCTGGGAAGTTACCTCTCCCCAAGGCTTCAGTGGGGACAGATGTTGGGGCACCAAGGAGGGGAGAGGGCAGCTTGGGGGAGGTGGGGGTTGGGCACATGGGGACAGGCACCTTGTTAGGGATGTACATAGAGTGGACGCACTGCACCAGAGCTTTGGTGTCCTTGGCCTGGCGGTCTCCACAGATCACGATCTGGCCGGAATAGAAAGGTCACTCTGGTGTCAGATGATGAGGGGCTGAGCCCCAGACCAGCCAGGGCTCCCCATCCTCCTCCCTCCTCCCTCAACACCACCTGCATCCCTAAGAAGGAATGGGGACTCATCTCAGCTGCCAGGAGGCCACATCAGATTTAATGCTTGGCAAGTGGGAAAACACACACACACACACACACACACACACACACACACACACACACACGCTAGAATACACGAAGAGGCAATGTCATGCATAGTGGCAGAGATACAAACACAGGAAGACACACACAGAAGACCCACAGCACACAGATCCATCCAGAGAGACACAGAGTAGTCACAAATGCACACAGCAGATGCCCACATGGAGGCAGATATCACACAAACCACACCAGACACACACATGCACACGCACACGCAGGCAGACGCAGAGGCACACATGCAAATGCAAGCAGGCAGACCTGCAGACAGGCATGCACATGCGGACAGGCAGGCACACACTTGCAGACACTCACACCAGCATTCCCCCCACAAGCGGGTACCCAGACACACACCTCCAGGAGTACACACAGCAAGAACACAATAGGGACAGGAATGATTACAGTGATACACAGAGACACACAGAAAAATACTCCACCAGCCACCAGGGACCCATATTTAGCCAGTCTCCTGTGCCCCGTACTCCGACAGCCCCAGTGACAGACACTCACAGGTCTGTCTCCTCAGACCCACAGACAGCTCCACCGCAGAGAGCAGAGACCTGCCTCACACGCGGGTGCACACACACCCCTGAGCTCTGGGGCAGCCCACACTGTAGCCCAGCTCCCCTCCTAGCTGGGGTCCTAGCCCAAGTGCCCTCAACCCTCACCTGCTTGAGGGTCTGCTGATGGGCTGAGAGGGTGCGGACCATCTCGGGCAGCGCCACCGGGACACGACGCATGCGCTCTGAGAAGGCGGTCAATAGGCACACACACTTGTCCATCCAGTCCTTGTGGCCCGTGAAGCCGTGCAGCCGAAGCAGGTTGTGGGCCGACACGGAATTGGCACTGGGCTCTGCACCATCCTGGTCTGCAGCGGGTGGGGAGACAGGGGGTGCGGGGAAGGGAAGGTCACTGAGTCCCAGGATCCTGCCCCAGCATTGTGTCCAGGGCCCCAGGGGAGGGGGCACACAGAAGAGGCCTTGCCCATACTGCTCCTCCCCTCCCCCCGTCAGTCTAAGAGTTGAAGACCATCGCCTGCAGTTACTGACGCTTTGCCCTCTCACCGGCGTCCCCAACTCCGCTTGTGCCAGGCTGCACTGCTGGTCCCCGGGCTTCAACTCACTGGGAACTCTGCCCAACCACCCAGCTGCTCGAGCCAGAGTGGCTTCACCCTCACCCCCTTCCTTGTCCCTCATCCTCAACTTCTAATCCATCCCTGATTCCTGCTGGGGCTACGGCCAGAACAGGTCCAAATCCCACCACCTCTCCCCATCTCGTCCCTCTACCATCATCTGAGCCTCCGCCCATGCCTGCCTGGGCTGAACACCACTGATGGCCTCCTAAGGGTCCCCCTGCTCCCTGCCCCATCTCTTTTCCGCCATTGGTCAGAGCGAACTCCTTAAACCTAAACCAGAGCAGGTCACAGAGCTGCTTAAAATCTTGCCCCACCCACCTCGGCACCCACCTCCGGTCTGCCCCTCTGTCCTCCAGGCTGCCCTCTCCCACCTCTCAGGCACTGCTCCTCTGCCTGAACTCTCTCCCCAGCTCCTCTGTGACCACATGGCCCCTCTTGCCCTCCAGATCTTGGTTAAATGACACCTGTCACAGGTGTAATCCGATCTCCCCCAGGCCAAGGTGGGCCCCCTCTGTACTTCTCTCCCAAGGCCCTTTCATTCACTCAGCTAACATTTATCGCGCACCTGCTACAGGCCAGGCCAGACCCTGGGGACAGAGCAGTGACAGAAAGTCCTGTTCTCTGATGAGCTAAAATTTGAGTGGGGGGGAGAGATCATTAACCACAGACAAGGCACGGGGGTAATCAGGGGACAGGTACATGGTAGAGGCTCCTGCTTCTCCAGGGCACACAGCACAGTTTTAACTACATGCTGGTGCGTGCATTTTTGCATTATTACTGTCTGTTACATAGTTGTCTCCCAGATTGTTCTGTAAGCTTCATGAGGGCAGGGACCACGTCAGCCTTGTTTAATGCCTGAATCCACAGTGCCAGTTACTGTGCCAAGTGTGTTCACAGAACGGCTAAATGAATCTTTACGCCAGCCCTGTAAGGTAGTGCCAACGTTAGCTCCATTTTGCCTATTAAGAAACCAAGACTTAGAAATACGAGACCAGCCCAAAGTCACATGGTTAATAAGTAGCAGAGACGTGCAGCCAGGAGGCTCCTGCCCTCGCCAGCTCTTCCCCGCCACACTGCACTTACACCTCCCTCGGGGAAAACCAAGCCCCGGCTAGGGCCAGGACTCCGGGCCAGCCCCACACCCCCACTGACCGTCCTTCAGACGCAGGGGCAGGCCAGCCCCGAGCTCGGCCTCGCTGCAGAAGTAGCCGCCACCCTCGGAGTCCCAGAAGAGCCTGTCCTGCGTGTCCTGCAGCCGCAGAGCCCACTCGAGCCACGCGCTCTCCTGTGAGGCCTCGTACAGGTCCAGCAGGCCCCGCACCACGAAGGCGTAGTCCTCCAGGAAGCCCCAGCAGGGCGGGTTGCTGGGGACAGGCATTAGGGGAGGGGGTGGGGACAGGCCCAGGAGAGAGGGCCTTTCACAGAGAGGGCCCCTTTCATGCATTTGTTCATTTAACCCTCCAAATGGCCCCTCTTGGGTAGCTGCCTTCATTTTCCAGATGAGTAAATGGGCCCAGGGAGGCTGAGAGCTCGGTCACAGCAAGCACCCGCAGAGCCAGGACTGGAGCCCACTGGCGGGGAGGCCAGGTGGGGACATGCAGGGAGACCAGCCCCCCACCCGCTCCTTCCCCCCACCCCCCAGTCAGTCTGCCCGGCCCCCCACCTGTGCTCCACGGTCCCTCCTGAGCCGGTGTAGCAGGTCCGCATCAGGCGGCCACTGGCCACATCAAACATGTGCCGCTTCAGGAACTTGGCACCATTGGTGGCACAGCTGACCAGCTTGTCTAGGCCCAGGACAGCCCCGGTCACAGCATAGCCGGACACCATCAGGCCTGGAGGCAAAAGAGACCAGTGGTGGTAAGAAGACGGCCAGGGCCCTCCAGGCCTGTCCACCCCGACACCTCAGGCCCCGGACACCTCTCAGGAGCAGTAGGGTAGAGCACAGACAGCTTGGGCCCCAGAGCCAGGCAGGTCAGCATTCCTGGCCCTTGTGTGTGACCTTGGGCAGACTACTAAAGCTCCCTAAGTCTGTTTGCTCCTTTGCAAATTGAGGATAATAAACCTAAGAAAGGAAGCATTAGCATTTAGCAGGTGCCTGACAGACAAAAGGGGCCTCAGACACACTGCCCCACCGTTCCAGGCGGCCACCATCTTGTTGTCCAGGTGCGGCTTGGGCCGGTGTTTCCGGGCCTGGAAGAGCTTCTCCAGCCCCGCATTGAGCAAGGTCCGCACGGCCTCCGCGTCCAAGCCGAAGCGGGCAGCGGTCAGCTCCAGTGAGTACCGGACAGTCAGCACGTTCTGGCCCTGCAGCTCCCCCTTGGGGTCCTGCGGAAAACGGCCTTTGTCGGGGCGCCCACAGGCTGGGCAGGCTCCGGCCTCCTCCCGTGTCCCCAGAAGCCCTCACCTGAGTGGGGCTGATGTTGCCGGCCTCCGTGAGCCCGTAGTGCTTCATGAGGAGCTGGCCGGAGGTCAGCGGCTCGGTGGCACCCGGCACAGCCTCAGGCAGGAGCTGCTGGACCTCTTTGACCGTCCACACGTAGAAGGCGCCCTCTCTGGGATGCATGCCCCGCTCTGGGGGCGAGTCTGCGTCCTCAGCACAGTAGAAGCCTCCAGACTGTGGGGAGGGAGAGTCGCTGGCCCCAGCCTAAAGGGCAGGGGAGACCCCAACCCCCTCCCTACCCCAGCCAGGTTCGCCTGCCTCAGTGGACACACACCCGGTGGGTCAGGCTCCGAGACACATACTGCAGGATGCCTTTGGCAACATCAGAATAGAATTCTTCGCCAGAGATCTGAGGAGAGGAACAGAGGAGGCTGTAAATGGAGGTCACTGGGGCGGCCTAGGGACGTGGGGGTGGGGGCGACATTCTCCCAGGACAATGGGGAGGGAAGACTGGGTATTCAGGAGGGAATTAGGGGTTTAGATTAAGCAGGAGCCACAGTCACCTGGAAGGCCTGTGAATAGACCACTGCGAGCTGTGCCTGGTCGTAGAGCATCTTCTCGAAGTGCGGGACGTGCCACTGGCGGTCCGTGGAGTAGCGGTGAAAGCCCTGTGCCAGGCGGGACGTGGGGCTAGAGGCTGCTCCCAGCTTCTGCCTCACCCACTGCCTCCCACTGCCCCTCCAGAGAACACCCAGCCCCCTCACCTGCCCCACGTGGTCCCGGATGCCCCCGTTGGCCATCATTTTCAGGGTGTGCAAGGCCATCTGCTGGGCCCGAGAGCCATCCTGGGTCAGGCGATGGCTGAGCCAGTAGGAGAACAGGAAGTTGAGGATCACTGTGGGGCACCAAGAACACATGGGTGAGAGAACAGGGGAGTGCGGGCGCACATCCGGGCGGTCAGGAGGCCTCTGGCCAGGTCGGGGCTAGGAGTGCGCCCAACAGGCAGTCTCTGGACAGGCTGGGAGTTGGGAGGTCAACGGTCAACTCAGAGAACAGAAGGTCACTGCCCAAGCCAGAGGTCAGAATATCATTGGCCCAAACAAAGCACCAGAAAGTTGCTGACCAAACCAGAGCCCAGAAAGTCATTAGCCAAGCCAGGGTCACAAGGACCAAGTCAGTGACCAAGGGTCAGAAGGTCATTATCTAGGTCAAGGTCACAAGGTCACTGCTAAGACCAGAAGTCAGGTTGTCACTGACAGGCTAAGGAGGTAAGGAGGTCACTGGTCAGGAGGACAGGAGGCTCAGGACCAAGCCAGGGGTCAGAAAATCGTTGACCAGGACAAGAATCAGAAGGCCTGTGGTAAGGTGGGTATGGGGACACTGACCTGGTGTCGGAAATTTGGGGGCCTCTGCAAAGCCACCATACTCCTCGTCATAGCCCTCATCCAGCTGCTGGAAGCAGCGGCTGTTCATGGTGGCCGCAGAGGGCGGCAGCTGGCGGTCACCCGTGCTGATCTCCGACCGGGCCAGCAGGGTGGTTGTGACACGCTGGCTGTTTTCTAGCAGTGTGTTCTTGTTCTGTTTCCACTTTGGGAGGTGGGGGCACACCTGGGGGTCAGCTTGGGTTGGGGGCCCTTGTCCCCTCGTCCCCCGCCCAGGTCCCCGCCTCCCCGATGCACACCCACCTGCTCCCGTATTCTCAGCAACACTGTGCGGAAGCCAACTCGGGTCAAGCCATCCTCGGGAGGGAAGTAGGTGCCCCCGACAAAGGGCTGGAGGCTGGGCGTCAGCCACACATTCATGGGCCAGCCCCCACCACTGCTGGTGGCCTGGGGGAGAGGGGGCAGGCGTGAGGGGAGCCGCCCCCGGAGCGCGAGCAGCGCACACACTCGCGTGGGAAGACCGCTCACCTGCACGAACGTCATGTACACCTTGTCCACGTCTGGCCGCTCCTCGCGGTCGACCTTCACGCTGACGAAGTCCTCGCTGAGCAGGCGGCCGATCTCCTCGTTCTGGAAGGACTCCTCCTCCATCATGTGGCACCAGTGGCAGGTGGAGTACCCCACTGGAACGGGGCCAGGGGGAGGTCGGGGGCCAGTGATGGGCTGGGGACCAGCCGAGGGGCCCCAGCTACCCAGAACAGGTCCTGACCTTCACTCTCCTGGGAGCCCCCGGAGCCCAGAGGACCCTCCCCCAGCCCAGGGAAGGCGGGCACATTACCTGAAAGGAAAATTGGCTTGTTTTCTTTCCTGGCCTTGTCGAAGGCTTCCTGTCCCCAGGGGTACCTAGACACAGCAAGTGGGGCATCCCTCAGCAGACCGGGGGGTCGAGGAGGAGCCCCGGACCCCAGCTGCTTTGGGAGGGCACCAGGAGAGCACGTACCAGTCCACAGGATTGTAGGCATGTTGTAGGAGGTACGGTGACTTCTCATTAATCAGGCGGTTGGGGGACCTCTGGGGCGCAGACGGGGGACAGCTGGGCCGGCTTCCTTTTCCTCCAGCAGGCATGGGCCCTGAGCTATTGACCGATGCACTCCGGTCCTTGTCCCGGGAGGAGCTACCCCTGGTGAGGCCAGTGGGTCACACAGGCACGGGGCCTCCCCCAGCCTCCACCAGGCCCCTGGTGCCCATCCCACCCCACCGAGCCCCCAGCCCCCCTTAGACCCACCTTTCTGAGCCACGGGGGAGACTGTGGCCTTTGTGCTCCCCCTTGTGTTTTTGGGGGGGTGAGGAGAGATGGCTCATTGGGGGCTCCCTGCCAGGTTAGTCTCCCCCAACTTCTCGGCCCCTGGCCGTGGGGAGAATGACTGTGAGGTCGGGGCGGGTCACAATGGGCAGAATGGTCCTTGGGGCTCCGTTCTCTCCCCCAACCGGGCCCCTCCCCGGGGGGCTGCGGGGAGGCGTCTCTCTGGCAGGCCTGGGTGCCTGACCTGGCAGGAAGGCTGCCCACTGCTGGTGGCTGCGCAGGCCAAGAATAGTAGGGTCTGGGACTGGACCGGGTGGGGGGCAACCAGAGGAAGACTGACATAGTCTCCCTCACTCAACGGCCACCTGCTGGGCACTTCTGCAGGGCCAGGTCCTGTGCCTGACCACCAGGACACCTAGGGAATCCGAAACAGGCCCTGACCTCAGGGAGTTCAGCCTGGGAGGGCGGCTGGGAGGCTGGCGCTTCAGGGTAGACCTAAATAATGACAAGTCTGGGCAGCAATAAAGGACAGTGACAGGACACAGGATGCTGTTGGAGAAGGGCCCTTGGGCCAGCATCGGGGTGCAAGGAAGGCTTCCTGGAGGCAGTGTCAGAACAGTCCTTGGGGAGCCAGCCTTGCAGCAGGATGGATGGGGCAAGGGGGGCCTTCCTGCAGGGGCCAGGCTGCGGGAGCAGACCGGAGGCGGGGGTGGGGCGAGGACCAAGCATGCAGGGGTGGTCCAGGCTGGCACTGGGGACGGCTCTGGGAAGACCAGCCACGGGGCCCCGCAGGCGCAGGGCGCGCCCCGCGGCCCGCTCGCCTGCCCGTACCTGCGGCTCGCGGCGAGGCCCAGCCCGGCTCGGCACAGCACAAGGCCGCGGCCCAGCCAGGCTCGCGCGCCCAGCATGGCTGCTCTGCGCCGTGGTCCGGGACGCCGCGGACAGGAAGGAAGGGCAGGAGGCTGCGAGGGGAGGGCCGGGCCCCTACAGAGCCGCGGGCGGGTCACCGCCGAGGCTCGGGACTGCGTGGCTGGTCTCCGAGCGCCGCCCGGTGGCATAGTGGGGAATTGCAGACCAGACAGCCCAGGTTTGCAAGTGTGTGCGTGAAACTCGGCTGGGCTCAACTCCATTAAAATCCTGCCTGCGGGAGGACAACCCTCCTGATGGGAATAGGAAGGGCTGCGGGATGCTAGGGCCATGCCATGCCAGAGCCTCAGCTCATTTTGTCCACCCCTTGCCCATTTTACAAATGAGAAACGAGGCCGGAGCCAAAGGCATGCCTTGTCCAGGTCCACAAGCTAGCAGGCTCCGGTTTGCACAGCCCTATCTCACCTGCTCAAATCCCACCCACCCCAGGAAGCCGTCCCTGAATAACAATGGTGAGCCAATTTTATGCCCTGAGTACACTTTCCACACTTGCCTCATTTGCTACAGTCAGCCAATGTTTATTGTCTGCCGCCTACCACTCTGCAAGGCCCTGGGGTGTACGGTAGTGAGCGGAGAGAGACAAGGCTCCTGCCCTCATGTGGCCCACAGTCTGTTGACAGAGGCAGAAGCTAACCCAACAGCCATACAAATGAATATACAGCCACCTGCTTTGACAAGTGCCATGAGTGGGTATAACAATAAGGGACATGATCTGCTGGAAGGGCTAAGGGATGACAGCCTCCCTGAGGAAATCACATTTGTATAGTAGCTACAGAGAATGAGAGAAGGGAACTTGGAGGGAGCATGAGAGAGTGTGGGGAAGAAGTCAGAAGGAACAGTATGTGCAAAGGTCCTGTGGCATGTCAGTGAGTCAGGGCTGAGGAATTGCAAGAAGGAAAACAGGCAGTAGATGAGGTTAGGAGGTTGGGGAGCAGGGCAGAGGCCAGGTCTTGGAGAGACTTATGAGCTGTCAGAAGGGGATTTTTTTTTTTTTTTAGAGAGAGCTGTGGTCTCCCCACATTGCCCAGTCTGGTCTCGAACTCCTAGCCTCAAGCAATCCTCCCTCCTCGGCCTCCCAAAGTGCAGGGATTACAGGCGTGAGCCACCGTGCCCAGCTAGAAGGAGATTTTTGATGAGAGAAGGATGTTGTTGAAGGGCTTTAGTCAGGAGAGTGACCTGGTTGGGTCTGCACTTTGGAAAGATCCCACTGGATGTCCAAGGGAGAAGGGGGCGAGAGTGGAGCCAGGGGCAGTTAGGAGGTCATAGCAGCACCCAGGGAAGATGGCGGGGGGTGGGGCTGGAGGTCGGGAGGAGGAAACATTGTCAGGACCGGCAATGAGGAAGAGTGGGGTGTCCAGGCTGAGTTGCAGGTGGGGCCATTTTCTGAAGAGGGGGGTGGTTCATGAGGTTCATTTTTGGACCTGTTGGTTTGTGGTGCCTTCAAGTATGTGCACACGGAGGCAGAGGTGACAAGGCTTGGAGCACACAGGAGAGGCTGTCGGGAGAGAGGGATTCAGAGGTCTGTAGCACTGAGACAATGTGGGTGCGGGGAGTTCTCTGGCGGGAGACTGCAGCGAGCAGAGAAGAGGACCCAGGTCTGGGCTTGAGAGAGCCTGAGAAAGACACAGGTGGGGACCAGCCAGTGTACAGAGGGAAAAGCCAGAGAGGGTGGCACCCAGAGGCAAGGGGACCGAGGGGTGTAAAAAGGATGGAGTGTCAACACTGTCAGACTCCTGAGAAGCCAACCAGGTTGGGACAGAGAAAGGTCCCTGTCCCCACAGGTGGGCTTGGCGGGCGTTGTCCCAGTGAAGTCAGGCAGAGGGCTTTAAGCCAACCAGAGGGGGTTGAGGGGGGGGGAAAGGACGGGCACCTGGTGTGGGGGGAAGGACAGAAACACACTTTCAAGATGGAGGAAGCTAGGACACCATATCGACAGGAGGGATTTGGTTGAGAGAAAGTGACTGAAGCTGCCGAGGAGAGAAGAGATGGCTGACACCACAGGGTTCCGAGAGTGGGGCGGTCGGTGTCAGAAGGGTTAGCAGACGGGCCGGGGGTGGGGGACCACAGTGGGGGGGTTCTGGTGGGTGCTCCAGAGTAGGAGCTCCGGCTGGAAGGGATGATGTTAAGCTCAGAGAACTGGAAGCTGCCTTGAATGTACAAGAATCTGGGGTGATGACAAGCCCCAAAGTGTGACCATGGGTGAGGGTAGCCGAGAGGTTGAGGGGCACAGAGGTCATCTCCTAGGATAATGGAGTCACCTGAAATTGACGTAGAAAAGGAGTGAGGTAAGAGCTGGGTGAGAAGACCATGTGCCAAGACCAAAGCATCCCAAGAATGAGGTGGAGTGACAGCCCCAGGCAGGGTGGAGGCAGGACAACCCAGTGGCACCGGCCTCCAAGGAGGAAGGGTCTTATGAGGAGGAAGATGGTCCGGAAGTACCTACAGGAAGCAAGACTCCCAACCTCTTCTTTGTGGGAGATGGAATAGCTCCCCGGGGGGTCCTCAGGGGAGAGCCAGTTTAGAAGAGGGCTTGGGTGGGGGAGGCACAAAGGATGGATCAGGGACCAAGGAGGAGGGGAGCTTCCAGGTTTGGGTGTGGCAGAAGGCAGATGGGGGCTGGACTCTGGCTACTGCCTGGCAAAACCAGGGTGGGTTCATTCCTCACGGTCAGTGTCTGCAGAGGGTGGGCCCTGGGCTGACTGGACACTGGCCTGGGAGCGTCTACACAGCAGCCTCATAAGGGAGGAACTCTCCATCCCATTTGACAAATAAGGAAACAGGCACAGACACAGGGAGGTTAAGCGATTTACTCAAGGTCAGGGATCATAACCACTTATTACTAAGTGACTATTGTTACTATGAAGTTCACACCTCGGAGCAGAGTTTTGAACCCTATCGGTCTGGCTCCTAAGCAGGTGCTCTTGTCCATTCTGTCTGTCATAGCCACTGTGGGACCCCCTTCCCCCCCCACCAGGAAGAATAGTCTGTGTCTCCCCCACCCCACACACGAAATTTGGCGTTTATGGCCCGTGACAGACCATTTACCCACGGCACCCTGAAAGGGGGTTGCGAAGGGCCGCAGGCTGCCTGCAGAGCCAGACCCTCAGCACTAAGGACACATCGGTGTCCAGTGGCCCAGTGACCAGGGGCACTGGGTAGAAAAGGAGTGAGGGTGGCCATGGTGGCCCCCCTGGATGAAGTAACGGGCTCTGCCCCCATCCTTGGTTTCCCAGACCCCACATAAACCCCCAAGAGGCTCGGACTCCTCTGCATGGTTGAGTTTCTTGCCAGCCCTGATGAAGGGGGCAGAGGGTAGAGCTGGATTTAAGGTGACTCAGTAGGACAAAGCTCCCGTACCCGCCTGGTGCCACAGCCATCACATACCCCTGGCTTGCCTGCCCTGCCCAGCTCTGAGCTCCTGGAGATTGTGGGCTTAGCAACTCCTGGATCCCTCCCAGGTCAGCCCAGCACTCTGTTCACAGCAGTCGCTCAATATTTGCTTAGTTAAGTCTGGAGTCCAGCCTGGGAGCTCCCTGTCTGACTCTGAGTTCTAGCTGCACTCCGCGCTAGCTTTGTGACTTTGAGCTGCCACTTAACCCCGCCGAGCCTGGGTGTCCTCGCCTGTAAAATGGGAGCAATGCTGGCTGCAAGAGTGACAGACCCGTGCAACCGCACTTCGGAGGGCTTTGTGCTTGGTTTCATGCTCTGTTGTCCCCGTTTTGAAATTCTTAATCCAATTTTGAACAAGGAGCCCGCATTTTCATTTTGTACTGGGCCTCTCAAATTATGCAGGTAACGATATTATCTACCTCAGAGAGATGTTGCAAGATTAAATGAATTGATCAGCCCAAGTGCTTAGCACATAATGAGTGTGCAATAAATGGGAACAAAAGCCTATGGTCCCTTGCTTTAGGCCACCTCCAGTGCCTGTGTGTGACAAACGAATGAAATGACCAATGAGTGAGAGCTTAGGAGCATCTGAAAGCGAAGGTGTCAAGTTGTCAAGTTGTCGGGGGATGAGGGTGAAGGGAGTCGAAAGGAGCTGTACGGGAAGTGGGAGCAGTTTTGCGCCCCAAGTTGAGAAGCAGTAGTTTCCTCGGCAGCCGGTGATCGCGTTGTTGTGGTCCAGACCCGGCTGCCACGCCCCGCAAAAAGTCCACTTGGTGAGAGCTGAAGGCGAGGGTTCCAGTCTTTCTTTATTATGGGGGCGTTCGGTCTCTAGCTCCCAGGACGTCGCCAGTCTCCAGCTTCAGGAGCTGCCACAGGGCTGGGTCGCCGAGGCCTGGAGCAGTGTTCAACACGCCCCACCGCCCCGCCCGGACCCGGAGTCGCGGCGCGCATGCGCCAGCAGGCCCGCGGGCGGGACCGAGCGGCGGCGCTCAGAGGAAGGGGTTGGTGCCGGGCTGCGGGGCGCCGGCCGAACCCGACGTGGGCAGCAGCGGCTGCGGGAGGCCGGCGGGCGGCGGCGCGAAGGCGCCGGCCTGCGGGAAGACGCTGACCGAGGCGGGGAGGCTCGCGCCGGCCGGCACGCTGCTGAGCGGGAGGGGCAGGGAGGCGCTGTAGGTCATGGAGCCCAGGGGCGCCCCGACGGGCCCGCCCGCCGCCAGGCCGAGCGCCGGCGACCCGGTGCGCATCTGGTTCAGCGTCGGCCTGCCCGGCTCGCCCGCGCCAAACGGGTTGGTGGGGGACGGAGCGCTGAGACCTGGAATGAGAGCGGGCGGGGCTTGGCGCGGGCCGGGGCAGAGCCCTGAGCAGGGAGGGTCTTCGGGATGGGGAACAAGAGTAAGATTCTAGGGCATGCAGAGCTGGGGCCCCAGCGTCGAGGGACGGGGTGGGGGGTGTCCTACCTGTCAGGAAGGGGTTCCGGGTCTGTGCCGCCTGGGGCGCCTTGACCAACGAGTCCAGGTTGACCAAGGAAGAGGCCGAGGGGCCCAGGAAGGACTCAGGAGTGCGGCAAGCTCGGGCCTCCTTGCCGGGCTGGGTTAGCGCTTCCCCTAGCACGCCCAGGTCAAAGGCGTCTGGCTCCTTCGTGCCATTTTGCTTAGAACTGGGGCTAGGCTCTCCAAACAGGTCCAGCTCTGGAAGAGAAATGCTAGAGCTCACTGGTGGGGAGACAGATTGGCCCCCCACGTGGGGGGAAGAGGGCAGAGGCCCCGCTGGGTGGGGACCCTGTTCCCGAACCTCGTGGTCCCCTTGCCTCCTGCTCACCCACAGGGCTGCCGCGCTTCCCTGAGGACAGGGCCTGGGCGCACTCCAGCCCCTCCTTGGTCTCCATGGATTCTGGGGGTTTGGCAAATGGGTCAAAGGTCGAGGTACCACCTAGAGCTAGATGAGAAGAGGGAGAGATGTGTTGGCAAAGAGAGTAGGCACTGGTCTGACCCCTTTCCAGGGAAATGGCCCTCTTAACACAGACAGGATCTGCTGCCCTCCTTGGCACTGGAAGGAAGGGGACCCTGAAGGCCCCTGGACCCTCACCGACACCCTCAGGCCCTGTACTTACCAGGTGTGTCAGATGTGTCCATGGAGGCCCCCCAAGGGTCAGCCCCAGCGCTGGGAAGTCTGTGGTGGGGAGAGTTCAGTGCCCAGGGGTCTGTGGTCAGGGGTCCAGCAGGCGGCACTGGGGTCCTGCCCCAGGGCTCAGAGGAGGAGAGCATAGGAGGCAAGTCCCAGGGCTGGCTTCGGGACAGGACGTTTCCTGAGGGGACTGGAGACCAGGGGTCTGCAGAAGGCCCCCAGGAGGAACCACTGGCCTCTGTGTTTGGCCTAAGACCTGAAATGGGAACAGCACAGACACGATCCCAGACCCACCCAATCCCTCGTCCAGGCCCTTCCCAGTTGCCCCGCCCTAGTTGGGAGGCGTGGGATCCATGTCATAGCTGGACTGCCGACTCGGGACCACCCAGCAAGCTGGAGCCCGTATTCAGCAAGTTAGCCCAGGAGCCTGGATCCCCAGGCAGAGGCGACTCAGGCCACCTTCTCAGGCCGAGACAGGCTAAGCCAGTGAGGGCAGCAAGAGAACATATGCTGAGTTTCTCATGAGCTGGGCTTTTTAAACGTGCTCCCCTGGCCCTCACTACGAGAGCCATGTCCTGGAGACAGCAGATGCTCAGGGCAATGAGTGACTTGCCCAGTGACCTTCAGTGAGTGACTTTGCCAGCAAGTGACTGGGAAGGAAGGGGCTCCCTGGGGCCAGCCTGGGAGCCTCTTGCAGCCCTCCGTGCCCACCTGGGATGTCCCATGGGTCAGCAGAGCAGTGTGTGGAGGGCGGGGCCGGGGCAGGTACGAAGATGTCGGCCAAGTCCAGGATGGAGGACTGTGGAGGGGAGAGGCAGCCGAGGCTCAGGAGTGGGCGGGGCCCAGAGGGAGGGCAGGCCCTGACCTGTCAGCCTGACGACAGCTCGTGCTCTCCTTTATTCACTCCACAAATATCTACTAATGACCCGTCACCTCTGTACACTGCTTGACAGTTTGTTTCCTTATCCATGTAGTGCCTGATTTTCATAACAAACCTGTAAGGTGGGTAGGGCAGGTGATGTACCCATTTTATAGATTAATCAGCTGAGGCCCGGAGAGGGGAAAGGGTTTGCCGGAAGTCGTACAGCCAGGGAAAGGCAGAGCTGGGGTAGAATCCAGGCCAGCAGAAGGGGGCAACAACGGCAAAGTCAGATTTTTTTACAACGAGCTTCATTCCCCGGGTCAGTGTCCAAGAAAAATTGGCCACAGTGAACATGGGCAGGAAGGAGACAGGCACCCCAGGGGCAGCATGGACAGCTTGGGAGGGTGCAATTATCAGCAGTTATCCACTCTCCCCTCCTGGAAAGGAGGTATACAAACCCAAGGTGTCTTCAGCACCGTGTGCCTGAGCCCACCCTAGTCCTGCCCGGCAGTATCACGTAAGAATGTCAGCGCTGGAACTGTCCAGCAAGCCCACCATGCAGAAGAGGAAACAGGCCAAGACAGTGATGTGCCCCAAGCCATCAAGTCAGTGTTCAAAAGTCCAGGGCTCTCAGATTGGGATTCTTTTGCATCCTACTTCTCTGTCAGCTCAGTCACCAGCCCATGCGATATGGGACCAGGGGCTGCTACACCCCGCAGCCCCCATTTTCATGTGATAAGCACTGAAATGGCGCTTACCATATACCAAGCACTGTTCTGCACTTTGCAAATACTAACTCATCTCACCTCCCAGGCCCTGTGCAGCCCACGCCCACCAGCGTACTCCCTACCTGGCTGGTTTTCAGCTTCTCCTCCTCCTTTTTCTCTTCTCTCTTGGGCTCTCTGTCCTGCCGGTGGCGGCCAGTGGCCCCTGTGCCATTGGCTATGGGGGAGTCATCTCCCCGCCAGGACCTCACCTCCTGCAGAAGGCACAGAGGAGTGAGGCGCGTGAGCAGCTGGGGCTGGACTTGGGGGAGCCTGAGCACCCGAGGCTGGAGTCAAGGAGAGAATGCAGGGTGGGGGCAGCTGAGAGGTTAGGAGCAGCAGGACCACCGGGTGCAGCGGGGAGCCTGTTAGTGCCTATAGCGCCTCCACCAGCACCTCCACCAGCACCAGCACGGGAGGCCCGGGCAGGCTCGGCCCCCTACCCGCTACCTTCTCGTGCTCCTGCCGGCTCAGGCGCAGAGCCAGCTGCAGCTGCAGGTCCTCATCCCTGTGGGAGGCTGGGGGAACTGGCTGTGAGGGAGGAAGAGAGGGTGAACTTGGCCCAGTGCTCCCACCCTGGGGTGAGAAAGACAGCATAGCCTGCCGTGTAACGGGGATGGGGAGAGAAATACTGTCCGCCAAACGGCAGCGTGGGTGTGGCCTTGTCCCTGCTTGGATCTGAGATGCCTTTCTACAGGTCAGCAAGATTGATCTTTCTCCTCTGGCTTCCTTGAGAGCCCCCCAAGCCCTGCTATGTGAGGCCCAGCTACTTCCTGCCTGGTCTTCCCGGATCCACAGAGGTAATGGCAGAGAAGATGATATCGGAGACCATCCCTGTTCCCCTAAAAGGACACCTGATGGGGGGCAGTAAGTCCCAGTGTCTCTTAGGGACGTGTCTGTCAGCACACTCACCCGCGTCTGCCACATGGCAGTAGCAGGCCCCTGTGACACGCGATGCACCCAGCTGCACATGCACCACCCTTTCCAGCCGGAGAGGCTGGAGGCGGGAGCCAGTCCCTGCCTGTGACCAAGCCAAGGACACAGACAGGCCCTGTGCTGTCCTTGGGGGCAGGAGTCAGGCTTTGGGGCCCACAGGCACCTCTCTCTCCTCTGGGGTCCCCTTCGTACCACCCCCCAAGCCCCTCACCTTCTCGGCCTCCTCGCGGCTCATGGCCAAGGCCAACTGCAACTGCAGCTCTTCTTCTCCTGACGTCTGAGGCCGGGCCTGCTCCAGGTCAGAGGTGTAGCGGGGGGATGAGGAGGAGGCTGCAACAACCATCGTGGCTCTGTGACCACACCAGTACCCACCGGTTCCCGTACCCTCTGCCTGCCTGGAAGCTGAGGCTCAGAGAGGGGAACTGAGGGGAGAGGAACAACTGGCAGCCGAGGGCCGTCGTGGCCCAGGCAGTGTGCTGGGCACTGTGAGTTCACTGGGCCACCCAGCGGTGCAGACTCCAGTGCCCCCTTAGCATGCACAGACGGCTCAGAGGGGCCCTGGCCAGGGTCCTGGAGCAGGACTTGCACCCAGGTCCCATGACTCCAGCGCTCGGACTCTTCCTACTTGGGGCCAAGGGGAGCAGGAGGGCAGGAGGTTCCAGGCAGATAAGGTCACAGCCTCAAAGCCCTTGGCAAGCTGTCAAGGGCTGCATGAAAAAAGGGCCATTCTGAGTATTCCTCAGATCAGGGGGACCCCACCACCAGGGACAGAGAGTCAGGCACTGCCCAGCAGCCGCCCTTATTTTCAAAGGCAGTGCCCGAAGTGGAGGGATGAGGGGAATGCCACGTGTCTCGGCGCAGGGCCAAGACCTGGACCTGGTCTCATTTCATTCTCCAATCAAACAACAGAGGTAAGTGAGCTTGTCCCCATTGTACAGGTGAGGAAACTGAGGTTCAGGGAGCTAATTGCCCAGGTCACACAGCTTGGAAAGGGTGGTATAAAGAGCGCTGTCTGACTCCAGAGCGTATGCATCTGCCACCACGCCGTCCTATCAGACAGCTAACTAACAATGATAACAAATATGTAACAGCATTTTCCTTTGAGCTAACTTGTTGAGCACCGACTGCATGCCAAGTGTTGTCCCTTGCGTGCTACATTCCTTATCTTGGAATCCTGGCATCCCTCTGAGGTCAGTGCTCTTAACCATGGCTTGGGGTTGCAGCGGCAGGATTCAAACTCAGGCCACCTCCCCATCCCGGCCTCTGTATGCGGGGCTCACTCACAGTTGTAGGAGGAGGGGGAGCCTCGCGGGCGACCGTAGTCCTCACCGTGGCGGCGGCTGAAGCCCAGCTGACCGCTGCCCATGCTCGTGCCCTCCAGCGCCATGCGCTCCTTGGTCTTGAGGGCGTGGGTCCGCTCCTGCCGCAGGCGCTCCTCGTCCTTGAGCAGGGTCATCACCTGCTTCACCTTCTCTCGCACGTTGACGCCCTGGTCCTTGCCGTCCCGGTCGACGTACTGGAAGTCCTTGAGCGTCTGGATGGTGTAGAGGTTCTCGCGGCACTGGTGGGCCACCCGCTCGGAGCCCGTCTTGAGCAGGTAGTCCAGCAGCGTCAGCGCCTTGTACACGTGCCGCCAGTTCTTGCCGCTGTCGTTGAGCCGCCGCCACAGCATGCCCATGACCTCGGCGAAGGCCACTGTGTTGAAGGTCAGGTCGGCGATTTCCGACATGAGAGAGCTGGGCGGGCCCCAGGGGTCATTGCTGGTGGCCTCGCGCACCTTGATCTCTGCCTCGGAGTAGTTGTGCACAATGTTCTTCACCTGGCGCCGCAGTGCAGAGGTCGTCATGGCTGGGGACTCGCAGGTGGGCAGCCCCCGCCCCTGCCGGAGGTGGAGGGCCGAGGGCCACCGTCTGGAGGTCACGGTCTCGAAGGATGGGCCGCCGTGCTCTCAGCAGGGCGGCTGCGTCCTTGGGTTCCACATGGGGCTGAAGAAGAGAGGGTCTGGAACTCAGGGGCAGTGGCCCTCAATGCACTGGTCACTCAGCCACCAACCAACAAAATAAGGCCCAGCCAGAGTGTCCCTGCTGCCAGGAACAGCCTTCAGCGGGCACTTATTATTCTTCTTATTTAACTTATTCAGCAGGCAAGTCTAATTTTGCATATTCATCTATCTTCGCAATCACACCGCAAAGATGCTATTATCTCCATTCACAAGTAGGGAAAGCGAGGCTCAGAGAAGTCTAAAACAACCTGTCTAAGGTCACAGAGCTGATAAGTGGGGGCCCAGGATGACCCCAGGCAGGCCCCCCAGAAAGTATACGGCCCCAGGGAGGATCTAACAGCAGCCCCAGGACTGCCCACTGGCCATGCTTCTGCTCGGCTACCTTCTGCGTTTCTGCCAGGCTCTAGCTTGAGACCTATCCTTTCCAGCTTCTTCCTTCACTTTCCTCTTTTCTCATATTGTTAATTTTTGTAGCTTGATTCACTCAACACCCATTTCCTGGAGACCTTTTTGGAGCCAGACACTATGTCCAGAAAATTGCAGTCCAGTGTGGGAGTGCAGAGGAGCACAGGGAGACCCAAGCAAAGGAAATCAGGGGAGACTTCCTAGAGGAGGTGGTGGTTGAGCTGAAATCTGAGACCCGAAGGGAAGGGGGCGGAGTGGCCCAGCAAGGCCAGGAAGGGCAGCTCAGAGCAAATGCTGTGAGCTGGGCCGGGAGGCCAGAGAGGGAGGAGTGTTTGGGGAAGGCTACCTCGCAGAGGTCTGGCCACTTCACCCCTGCCACCCCCATGTACACGTGAGAGCACTCGAGTCAGAGAGGGGATGTGACCTGCCCATGAAACACGGCGTGTAGGTGGCAAGCTGGGACTGACACCTAGGTCTCCGGAAGACTAATCCAATACTTACTGCCATGTCACTCAGTTTGGTAATTAATTCATCTGATTGTTTTTCTGTCTCAGTCCACCTTCTCAGCCAGAGTGGAAGCTCGCTGAGGGCAGGGACAGTCTGGGCTCTCCAAACCCTCAAGGCCCTGGGCAGTTGGTAACCCTCTGGTACCCCAGCAGAGGGAGGGTCAGGACCAGCCACTTCCGTCCCTAGCCCTCAGGTCTAGGCTTTCTGCTGAAAGCTAACCTAGGCCCAAAACAGAGGAAGGTCCTCCCAAGGCCCTATCAGAAACCAAAAGCGGAATCCCCTGGCTACCGCCATTGTTCCAGCACCAGTACAGGTGTATGCGCGCTTACACACCCCCCCACACACAGACACACACACCCTGGGCCTGCAGAGCCTCCACCTCATCTATGAACCCCTCCCCACCCTCCACTCCCACCCGGCCAAACGCCCATGGAGATGGCACTTCTCAGCTCCACCCTCTAGCCCCAGCCTGGCTGTGCCCCAGCTGGTCCCCAGGCTGCCAGAAGGCAGGACTCAGGAGGCCATCCCGCTCCCCCCGCCCGAATCCACACTCCTTCCACCCCAGCCCTGCCAACGCTGGGTTCAGTTCAAAGCAGCCCCACAGGCCTTGGCAGGTTTCGCCAGGGCCCGGGTGCCTGGGAGAGCCTGGGCTCAGAGGATGGGGTCCTGTGGGCGCAGGCGAGGTGCAGCGTGCCTGGCCCAGAGCACTGCCTACCTTCTATCTGCTGTCTGTCTTTCCGTCCAGCCGGTCGTGGGCTTTCTGTGAGGATGCCACGGCCACAACTTGTTTAACTCTAGCCCTCCCCTTCGCTAGTGACTCAGACCTGCCTGCGCCTCCCCAGCGGTGGAGTCAAGATGGGAAATAATACGCACCAAAGCCCGCCCCAGCACACGCCCCTCCCTGCTGGCCGCTGGAACTAGCAGAACCAGTTGGGCACAGTGACTCCACCAGAGCCCTACCTGGGCCTGGCTGCCCTGGCCCTCCAGCCTGGCCCAGTGGGGGCACCGGCCTTCGTGGGAGGGGGCCGCAGGGTGGGCCCGGCAGCCCTGCCTGGACTTTTCTCCTAGAAGGTGGGCATTCTCCCACACCTCTGCAGGAGGTGGCTTGACCTCCCTCCCCTGGAATTTGAGGGGACAAGGCTGGGAGGAAGAGGGGGTAGGGTGAGGCCACTGGAGCACAGAGGTGGGGGAGGAGAGGAAGGGACACGGGAGGGAGCAGCTGGGAGCGCTGCCAGCGGTGTTACAAGCAAAGGGTTTTATCGAACACAATATGCCCAGAAATAAAAGGGAGTGAAACAGAAACCCAGCAGCTGATAAGGTGGCGGTGGTAGCGGCAGTGGCGGCGGCAGCCCCGGACAGCTGGGTATGGAATTACTGCAGTGACCTTCAGCCAGACCTGTCAGGTGGAGGGAAGGGCACTGAGAAGGCAGGGCCTGGGAGGCCAGTTCAGAGCTAGGGCAGAGGGCAGGTGAGGCAGGAGGGCACAGGGCAGAGGAGGGGGTGGGCTGGGGGTCCCAGGGCATCAGCTCTCTCCTACATAGAGGGTCCCAAGAAGGACTGCATGGGGGGCTGGGGCTGCTCCTCTCAGGGCCCCCAGGACTGGGCAACCTGGAGAGATTCCCAAAAGTCAGGACCAAAAAAAGCAAATGGCTCATCCCCAGAGTGGGGTTCAGAGATGGGAAGAACCCAGATCTGTCCAATCACGAGTGCATGAGTTTGTCCAAAGTCTGTGTGTGCTCCCACCGGCCCACCCTCCCATCCTTGGCTAGGGCAGCTAAGGCTAGGGTGGCTACATCAGGCTCCAGCCCCCCCAGTCAGGTCCAGCCTGAGCGGTGGCTTTTCTGATCCCTCCCTTCCCCCAGCCCTCTTGATGCTGGAGGGACAGAGGAGTGAGCTCCAGCGCTAAGCTGCTGTCAACTTCATCAGCCCTGGGGTGGCTAAGTCCTGGGGGCATGGGAATGGGGTAGGGGCTGCCCTGGGCTAGAGGTGCATCAGCGGCTGAGGAAGAGGGAACAGCAGAGATGCGCAGGAGTCTGTGGGGAATGCCACAAAAGATACTAAGTCCCAGGGTGAGGTCAGGAGCGGGGACCCTGAGTCCCTTCCTGGGGGCTACAGGGAGGGAGGGGCAGCAGGCAAGAGCTTGCAGGTCCTCTGCAGCCCAGCTCTCCTCTCCCCTCCCTGCCCCTGGGAAAGAGACTAATCCCCAAGTCCACTCTTTGCCCCGGCCTTCCACGCAGGGCACCACCAGGGAGGGGGCCCGGGAGGGAGCTTACCTCTGGCACAGGCTCCCTCGGCCCCAGCCCCGGCCCCAGTAGCCTCTGCAGTGACCCTCCGACCTGCGCGGCAGGGGGATGGCACAGCCTCGGGAGCGTCTCCAGAGCCATCCACCATGGACCCTCGTCCCGGAGACCCACCCACTCCCAGGAGGCGCAGACCCCTCAAAAGGGCAGTGGCAGGGTCCCTGGAAAGGGTAGCAGCTCTGCCTCTCTCCCGTTTGCCTCCTAGACACCGGCCAGCCAGCGGCACTGGGGAGGGAAGTTGCTTGGCTGGCCGGGCAGGTCCTCCTCAGCTGTAACAGGACACAGGAGGAAGCGCAGGGCGGGTTAACCCCTTCCTGCTGGCCAGGCAGGTGGTGCTCCAGAGGTGGGAGGCCAGCCTTCCTGCCCCAGCAGGTGCACATCTGGAGCCAGTGTTGGACCCACTCCCCGCTGCAGTGAGTTAACCCTTCCTCTGCCTCTTTGACAGGAGGGGAAGCTCCAGCCCCCCCACCACACCCCTCCCCTCCCTCTTCTGGGCCAGGAGGACATTAAAGAGGCCAGGACCATTCCCTGAGGCTGGCTTTGGTGGACCTGCTGCCTTCTGTGGGCTCTCAGCTGACCTCCTCAGCGCTCTAGACACAGCCAGCCCCCTCTGCCTCCAGAGTGTCCTGCTGTCTGCAAACCACCTTCTGCGTCTCAACTGGAAGATGCCTGAGCCCCACAAGGTCGTTATCAGACACACCCACAGGGCTTTGAGCCTGTGGCCACTCCCCCAGCCTCCCACCCACACCTTTTCATCCCACTTAAAGACAGTAAGCCCACTGCCCACCATTAGCAAAGTTGTTCTTCAAACTCTGGGAGGCTGCGGTGCTCTCCGCATGGAAGCCCAGCCCAAAATGGTTATGACTGACCGAAGACAATTACCGTACTGGGTGAGCTGACGGCACCTCTCTTTCCAAGAGAGCCATCTCTTGCCGGCTTCACGTTCCCCTGAGCAAGAGGAGTAGCATGAAGCCTAGAGGCTGTTTTTTAAGGCAGAAAAATGGCTCAAGGCCAGATGATCTGATTTGAGGAGGGGAGAAGACAGACTAGAACCCAAAGTAACAAGGGGGCGTGGCCTCTAGAGTTTAGGAGGTATGGCAAGCGTGGTCTTCAGGGACTGGGATGGGGCCGTGGGACCCAGCTGAAGTGGGAGGCCCTCAGGGAGCCAGGGTTCATGGCATCTAGTTCTCCTCCTACCACTTTGTCATACTTGGTCATGACACTTTGGGAAGACCTGGCTCCAGGAAGCATGACCCTAAAAGTGTGAGCCAAGGAAGCCAGAGGCAGGGACCACAAGCAGTGATGCGTTCTGCCTGTCACCCGACTCATTCCTCGTCCTGCCACCAACTTGTTCTTCTGCTTGTCATCCCACACGTCATGTCTGCCTCTCCTCCTGCTGGAGAGCTCCAGGAGCCGGGAGGAGGGAGTCTGAGGAAAGGTGGGACAGGGCAGGGCTTGGGCTAGGAGCTGACCTCACCAAGACCCAACATCCAAGACACAGAAGCACAATGTAAGTGGTAGAAATCTCAAGGTTCTTTATTGATTTGTTTGTTTTTTGGTTTCCCAGAAGGTTGCTTGGGCCTGAGAGTCAGCTGCAAAGACGCAGAGTCTCCTCAGTATCCTTTACGGGCTGAGCTCATCAGCCAGCACCACCAGCTCAGTCACAAGGGCGTTCAGCAGCCCGTAGACCTGGAAGAAAGGGACGGGCATCACAGGCCAAGGTTTGCTCTGGGCAAGCACCTGTACATCAATTGCACCGGGAGAGAACAGCCAGAGAGGGGGAAAGACCAAAGTCCCGAGAGTTTCTATAGAACTTTAGTTTTTGCAAACAGTTTTATTTTTAAACTGGTCTGGGGAGGTCACCCTGCACTGGCACCTGCGACATATAGAGGCACCAGAGCCTAGAGAGGTTAAAGGGGCAGCTCCAGGGAGCCCAGGGAGCAGTGCCCATTTAGCCCCCGCATTGGGCCTGGGCTCCAGCCCAATTCTGCGCCCAGCTCTCCTTCCTGTAAGCCTCCAGGTCCACACACTGAAAGGCCTCCACCACTGAGTCCCCCAAGGGGCTGGCCCACATGAGCCTAGGCAAGTTGATTCTTGATTTCAAAGAGCCACAGAAGAGTCTACCCCCATGGGTCCTCCGAGCATGTTAATTACTTTCTAGACCCCCATCGACCATCAGAAATCTCATGGTGTCAGCAGCAGCAAATAGAACTTCTGAACAAATGGGATCCGGAATGTGGCTGAAACGAGTGATGCAATCCCAGCTCCCCAGTGCCCAGAGGAAGACAAAATATCGCCATTGGACACACTAACACGCCGAATGTGGTTTTGTAGCCCTCCCCTCCAAAACAAACAACAACGACAGGAGCAAGAAACAACAAAACAAAAATTCTACATGAATCTCTAGGGACCTGCTGCTTAAGAATAGCTCAGGATGCAGTCTCTCCAGTGTTTCAAAACTCCTTACAATTGATGGAAACGCACCCTGCGTGGTGTTCTCCCGAGGAACACGGCCGCCAGGATGCACCTAATACAGGGAGGAAGCGGAAGCAGCCGGAAGAGAGGGCTTCCTTCCTTTCTGTTCTCCTGGGGTCTGTTCTCCAAACTAGAGCCATCTAGTTTGAAGCTAGAGCCATCTTCTAAAGCCTAAGTCAGACCATATCACTTTTCTATTCAAAACCCTGCACAACTTCTCTATGCTCTGAGAAAAATGCCACGTCCTCACAATGGCCTGCAAAGTATCGTCCTCCTGTGATCTGTGCCCTCCACTGCGGCCCCGTCCCCTGCGCCTGGGCACCCTTCACCTCCCTTCAAGTCTCTGCAGGATGTCACCTTCTCACCGAGGCCCACCCCAATGCACCCCTGCCTGGTCTGTCTTCTCTTTCCCATGGTGGCTGCCACCTAACACACCAGGCGTGTTCCTTATTCACGGGGTCCGTCTCGCACTCTAAAGCGCCCTTCCCGAGGCAGCTCTGCTTCCACCGCGGATGCAGCGGGCCCTTCTTTATGGAATAAAGGGATTGCACGGGGCGGGTGGGAGCTCCCCTTCACCTCGATGTGCAGCCTCTGGGTGTACTTGTTCATGACCAGGGGATCGATGGGCTCCTGGGAAGGGGTGATGCTGTCGGGGATAGGGTCCTCCAAGAAAAGCCTTTCCTGGCTTACAGATTTCGTTACTTTCTTGTCGTCCTTTGCCTTTTGCTTCCTGCTGTTCAGTCGTTCCTGCTGCGGGAGGTGGGGACACTTGGGGTGGGTCCACGCAGCCTCCCCGAGCCCTCCCCAGCCCCGCCCAGGGCCCAGCTCACCTCTTTCCAGGGCGGCTTGGCTCCTTTTTTGTCCTCTTTGTCTCTGATGCCCAGTTGCTTCTTTTCCTGGGCTGCCCCTTTCCGCTCCTCCCTCCCAGCTCTCCCAGCAGGCACCTTCACTTCCAGGATGGGAGGCAATTTTTGATCTAAGGGATGGGGGTGGAGCACAACGTGGCAGGCCCCTGTGGTCTAGCTGACGCCGCGGGCAT